GATCTTGACAGACTTGAACATTGGGCACTATCTAACAAAATGTAATCCAATGATGAAAAAAATTAAGTCTACATTTAGGCAAGAAAAACCAAATGCACAGGTGTAGTACATGTGATATCACTTATACTATATCTGCAGGTAGGTGGCTCAATAGTAGTAACTGCAAGAGTCTTTGAGTCTTTGTGGGCAATCACTTAAATATGAGCCAGCAGTATGCTGCAGCTGCCAAAAAAGCCAACACAGTTCTAGGCTGCATTAACAGAGGGATAGAATCAAAATCACATGAAGTGTTAATGCCACTTTATAATGCCTTGGTATGACCACACTTTGAATATTGCATTCAGTTTTGGTTGCCACAATGAAAAAAAAAAGATGTTGAGACTCTAGAAAGAGTGCAGAGAACAGCAACAAAGTATTAGGGGACTGGAGCTTAAAACATATAAAGAACAGTTGCTAGAACTGGGTATGTCAAGTTTAATGAAAAGAAGGACTAGGGGAGACATGATAGCAGCTTCCAGTATCTCAGGGGTTGCCACAAAGAAGATGGAGTCAAGCTATTCTCCAAAGCACCTGACGGCAGGACAAGAAGCAATGGGTGGAAAACAAGGAGAGAAGCAACATAGAGCTAAGGAGAAATATCTTGACAGAACAATTAGCGGCACAAATTGTCTCCAGAAGTTGTGAACGTTTCAACACTGGAAGTTTTTAAAAAGGCATTGGACAACCATTTGTTTGAAATAGTATGGGGTTTCCTGCCTTAGCAAAGGGTTGCACTAGAAGACCTCCAAGCTCCCCTCCAATTGTTATTCTATTCTATTCTATTCTATTCTGTTCTGTTCTGTTCTGTTCTGTTCTGTTCTAACCTCTGAAATAGATTCAAACACAGTGGGACAAATACATTGTATTATATGGAAATCTGAAGATTGAATTAACATACATGTGTCAGGTCAATTCATTCCTGTGTTGGGCTGTTTTTCAAGAACCGAGTTGTCTACTTCAGGTAAGAAGATTTTGCCTGAAGTAGCCTACAGTAATTGGGCTTGCTAGTCCATTCTTCTTTGGAGCGCTCACTCCCACCCTTAGGCTGGACCTTTAACATGAGCAGAAGAACTATGCATTCAAAGCGGCCACTTCTTTGATTTAATGGCCTGACCTTAATGACACAATGACACTTGTTAAATCCTGCAGATCAAAGCTGAAGCACTTCTGTCTTACTTTATACAGAATGATGAAGGAGGAGATGGAGGAGGAGCTGGTCTCCAGAACGATGTGAATTGCACTGCAAAAAATTAAGATCTATGGAAAATTGACAATTTTACAATCAAGGAGTTGCATCTAGTGGGCTAGAATGGCATCAGGGAGAAATTTTATTTCATGGGAATTTATTTTATAGTGCTATACAGAGTGATAACACAAGCAACTCCTGCACTGAGAAAAGGTAGGAAACTCCTGATTCGATAAGGTTTAGAATAACTGGGATTCCATCTGCTTAATAATCGCAGCTGGGCATTCTGGGATTGTTGCCTTCATGCAAAGCAGTCACATGATCAGTCTTGCACTGTTTCTAGTTTGTTGTGGGCTCTGCATTGCTTTTCAATAGATTTCCATGTATAAAATGCTGATTTTGATTTATAAAGCCTTCCATGATTCTGGCTCTGCTACTTTAAGTACTATCTTTTTCAAGTAGATCTGTGCATTCTTTCAGAGAGGGGCTTTTTTGGATTCCCTCCCATTACAGGAAGACTTATGAGTTGACTCTCCAGAGGTGGTCACCTGTGGCTTTGCGGAGCACTTAGCCTCCTCCAAAAAGTGGTTCTGATCAAGTACTCCAGCAGGCCATGAATCCGAGTGTGTGTGCTTCTTGCTCACATTTTCCATCTTCCTTGACATCCTCCTCTTGTGGTCAACCCTCTCTTGTGCTTCCAGATGAGACATACAATGAGAGTAGCAGACGTCATGAGAAAACTCTCCTAGTATGCATCTGAATGGGGCTTCTTTGAAAGCAAAGGTCCCTCCTCTCTTGTGATTGTATGTTCTCAATGGAAGGGGTAGGGGAAGATTACAGCAGGGTATTGGGTTTCTCCCAAACCTCCATGGAGCCTTTGGCAAGTTCTATTCTTAAGTAAGACTACAATAAGGAAACAAGGAACAAAATAAGCACTGATGGAGTGGCAAATGGCAATTAAGCGTCCTTGTTGTTCTCTGAGCTTGACTGTCTTTTTGCAGACATTACCCAAACTAGGTAACATCATCAGTGCTAGTAAGGAGAGGGGTTTGCTCTCAGTTATGTTATCACTTTATGTTCTAATGGCTTGCTCTGTCGGTGTTGGTAGGGTGGTCTTGGGGGTTTTCTTTGGTTAGGCTGTTTACTGTTGGCTTGAAATCACTCAATTTTAATCCCCCATCAAACAATGTTTGTTAAAAACAATATTAATTGCACAAGTTATTTGTAAAAAAATGCATTATCCTCCTTTGGAATATACATTCTGAATATTAGTCTTAATCCTACTAGTTCAACATTCATCCCTTGTATATCTACCATGTTCATCAGTCAATACAAGTTCCTGTTTTAGTTGAGAATACACAAAAAATAGCTTTTTTAGGGTTTAATGAAATAAACTTTTCACCCAGATTTGTGTTAATTAAATATTAAATTAAGTATTTTATATCTTTCTTCCTAATTCGAATTTTTTTTTGCAAACAAATAATACTTCGTTTCATTTTTTTAAAACAAAGAAAAAAGTTGCTTTTGGAGACCATTTGATCTATTTATAGTCCACATTAGACATTTTAATCTATGGTCAAGCCAAGAATGTAGACAAGTCAATACCTATGGCACTCAATTCAGTATAATCTCTTAAAAATCCTTTTGCATTTATTGTAGTGATTGTGGTGAAGTCTGCCTTGAAATCTCCAGATTTCTGTTCACTCATGCCATCTGCCCATCTGATTCCAGATGATGCACAGAAGTGGATCTGGACCCCAAGACTTTTGAAAAGTTTTTATCAGAACTTGGTAGTAAATTGTGGACTATAGTCTGAGACCAAGTAGTCAGGTAAGTTATGTAAACAGAAGATATGTTGTAAAAATTGCTGAGTTGTGTCTTTGACTGGGGCCAGTCCTAAGCACTCTATGAAATAATCCATCTTTGTTAAAGTGTTCATCATTACCAAAAGGGTCCTTTCCCCCTGGTTAAATGTTATGAAGTCTTAAGGATTCAGTGGCCCAAGGATATATTGGGATGTGTGGTGGCACCAAAAGTCCTTATTACTTGTCTGGTGTGTCTTTTGTTCTATGACAGGCTGAGCAGGAGGTGACATACCACCTTGCATCATCCCGATTCATGGTGATCAAAAATCTCAAAAGTAAATGATCATGAAGAGTCCAAGTGGCCTGCAGCAAGTATGCACTGACCACCAGAACTTATAGCATCTACAAATATGCTCTAAATTCTGGTGGTCAGTGCATACTTACACAGGGTATGCCTCCTCTAAGATGTATCTCCATGTTTCAAAAGCTGGAAAGTTTGCAGCTTCTACTAGTACTAGTACCCCATAGCCATATCTGAAGGAGGATGGATTCTGATGCAAAAGCAGTCTTTAAAGCTCCAAAAGCATGTCATGAATCTTCATTCCAAATTAATGTTTTCCTGAGCAATGGACAGGGCCAGAGGTACAGTGAAATCTGCAAAATAATGTATATATTTTCTATAGTAATTGACAAAGCCAAGCAAATGGACTTGGCAGGGCATGTGATAGCTAGATGTCCCTGGGACCCCACCGTACAAATGCAACCCTCTCTGCACCTTTCAGCCTTTCCAGTTGAGAATGAGCTACCCTGACCTGTGTGGTTTCCTCTAAAGATGTCTGTTCAGAGATAGGCATCTATCTGCCAGGAGACCTAGGCTTGACAATATATTGTTGGCTTAAGATCTAGTCTTCCACTACTGCAAATACCCATCAATATGAAGACACAGCTACATTAATTCTTTCAATAGATCTATGCATTCAGTTTTAGCTAGATCATCTAAAGTTTCATCTATCAAACCTACTTTAAACTGATATTGCAGCATTATTCTATGCCAAATTCTTAGAAATTAAATGTACTTACATATTTAGCTGCCACTGTGTGGCACCCTTGTTTAAGTTCCAGAATGTGGTGATTCTTGCTTTGAGTTTTTATGGGATCTACATACATGGCACCAAGCTGACAAATGCATTTGCACAGTTGTCCAGCAGAGATTCAGTAGTGTGTTGCCAAAAAAAAAATCTTCTGAGATCCCATACCCCAAAATCTGAAAGTTGCACAGGGAATATATTACATCACACAGAATTCAGACATCCTTTAGGGTTACTGCCCAGGAGCAAAGCTAACATTTATTCACATTGTTCTACTGTCCTACACCAACATTAGTGCTATTATCCTCCTCATAAAATTTGAGGACTGTTATTCGTAAGAAAATGGCTACAAATGAGAATAGCAACAAAGAAGAAAAACAACTCATTGAGGACCTGGTACAAAAACTGAAGCTGAGTGATGTGTGGCACTAATCAGATTTGAGTCATATTTGGACTTGAAAAACAATAGGAGGCTGCACTCTCCAAAATCAACAGGACCAGGAAAAAACAAAATTTAATTTATGTTTATAAATACAATTAATATTGTTGATTGTTCCGTGTCAATGTAATGACTTTCACTTTCAGTCACACTAAATCTATCATTCAGTACTAACAGAAGTGCTCAGAAAAACACATGTATAATTTTCATTTAACTTTTGGATTGTGGACTGAATTCCCTGTATTAGCCAAGAGGAGAGGAAGAAAAGCTTAGTGACAAAGCTATTGTGCTTGCCCTCTGAAAATCCCAGATACAATCTCCAGTATTTCAAAATATTTTTCTACCAGAAATTTTAGTGAACAGATGTCTGATTAGAATGGGAACAGAATCCTAGAATAGAATCTGGGCAAGGCAGCTTTGCAGATTGAACATCCTTAGCCAAGATGGATCTGTCTCCAGACTTCCCAGGGCAAGGACATCTTGATCTGGTCTGCATAACTTAGGGTCAGAAAAATGCTCCAGAAAGACTGCACTCTGGAAACATTTTATTGGGGGCAGGAGGGTCTGGGGTTAGTCTACTCTGTGCCTCACTGTGTCATTGTCTTCTGCAAATGCTGGCAGCTGGGGCATATGCCTTCGGGTTGGCCCCTCTGCTTCAGCTCCTCCAAAATGGGCGCCATCGCATGTTCAAACATCTTTCGCAGTACCTCTGTATTCACAATGCTGTAGCTGTGGGTGGGAACCGGGAAATGGAAAAAAAAAGAAAGAAAAGAAGGGATGCCATTTACACAGTCAATCAATGTAGAAAACATGATAGGTTTAAGTCTTGAAAGGGAGACCAACAGCCCAGTTACAGTGTCAAGGAAACTCCTTCCATGCCATGTCAGAAGAGTGCCCTTTGCTGCACTGAAAATAATGTAAATATGAGATATCTCTGGAAGTATTTAACATAAAGAGACAAAGAACCACTGCTCCAACTTAACATTGCTTTAGGACAGTTGCTCCTTTTTCCAGAACTGACACGGTGGTCTACTGAAAGAAGAAGAGAAGGTAGGCAATATGTATGAAACAGCTAAGCTGGAAAGAGTTTTAAAAAGCAGCCATTTTAAAACCCAACTCTTCTTGATTCTTCTAAACACACATGCCAATTACATGAGCTTCAGCAACATATTTTTTTTAAATAAATGAAAATAGATGTTCTCAGATTTCTAAAGCCAATGCCAGAGACTCGATTTTGTAGAAAATTGCGTTTTCAGCAGCAGCCAATTAACTGTTTATGTGAGTAGTCAATTCACTTGCTTCTGTTAATACTGAACTTGCTCTTCTGTGAACTGGAAAACTGCGATTACTTGTTGGTCTATGAAAGGAAATCTATAATATCAAGTCAGTATTTCTAGCTGACATACTATTCAGGGGCTGCTTAAGCAAAAATTTTGGATAGTCCTTGATAGAAAAATCTTAAGAGTTTGTAGCTGTTCTGATAAATCAGGCCCATCTAGTAAGGAAATATTTTTCAGTCTTGGCAACATTAAGCTATATGGATTTCAACTCATGCTCAGGAATTGTAAACTGGCTCAGGAATTTTGGGAGTTGAAGTTCATATATAGCTTTCCCTCCAGAGACCTGGCTTTCCAAGACGTGGGAGACCTGGGTGGGAGATTTGTGCCATTTGACTGCTTATAGCCGTGTTGGGGAACCTATGCCATGCGTGCCGGAAGTGGCATGCAAAGCTATTTCCCCCGGCATGTGAGAGGTCGCCCGGAAGAGCCCCACTGTCAGGTATCTGGCGTGCATGCGCAGGGAGCAAAGGGGGGGTGCATGAGAGAAGGGTGCGCATGCGCAGAGACATGCTGTGCACAAGGAGGGATCATGCATGTATGTGGAGATGCATGGCATGCGAGGGAATCGTGCGTGCATGCGTAGACGTGTGGTGCGCAAGGGGGAATCATGTGCGCATGCACAGGGAGTGTGGGGGCCCCAGCATGCATTGTCTTCTGGGTACTGGCATGCAAGTGCATGCAAGCATGTGCATGCGCAATTATCGGCACAGGAGCCGAAAAAGGTTAGCCACCACTGGCTTATAGCATGGTTTTGGTTGGATGAAGTTATTTTGGGAACTTATTACACATTGCTTTCTATTGGTGTACACTACCCTGTGTCAACTGGGAAGCTATTAAATTGATTTAATCAGTCAATCCATCATGCTAAGTCCTAATATGGTATGTTTGGTTTTATCTTAGTTTTTGTGGCCTGTGGGGATAATAAACCAGAAGTTATACCAAGTCCAGCATCCATTTGCCATGCCAAAAAACACCACAAAATGTACTGTCACAATTTAAAGACAGAGGGCCAAATTTCTATGGTATATTTTTTTGAGTCAAAAAGGGAAAGTAAGTCTGGAAACAGAAGCTAGAGTTCCATTGGTGAAATTCATTTTTTCTCTTTTAACGATTTCAGACACAAAGGAAATCTCTCTGGTATAGCATACCACTTCTGGGATAAGAAAGTCACTGGAAGACCTCTTGCAACAGCTAGCAAGCTGAGGAGTCAAACAACAATACAGGCCCACCTGTGGTTTATGGCTTAAAATCATAAGACAAAGACTATCTGTAATGCTTTGTTTAATAAACTGCAATTAGCAAATCATTGCTGAGTGGTTTTATGACATTTCCCTGAGTGAAATCAAAGAAATCAAACCTAACACCACATCCTTCCTTAGTCTAACCTTCTGATTCTCATTAACAGGTTGGCCTGTATTCTTCAGTTCTGATCCAAAGGTTTAAACTAGGTACCTGGAACATCTAGCACAATTAAAAGGAGGCCAATTGGATCCTTCCATATTCTTTAGTGTTGCAAGATGTCGGGATATGTCTTCCAGGAGCCCATCCAGATCTTCCCGGACCTGAGTGAGAGATACTGATGCCCGCTTTGCCCTGGCATAGAAGGAAAAAGATAGCAGCTGTAAGTGAAATTACAAATTTCCACAATTTCTAAATTCATAGCCCTATAACAGCTCAGAGAGATGTATGTTTTGCCTGCCACACAGAACAGTAGGTTTCCTTATCTGTGGAGAAGGTCTTGTAATGGAGCAATCTCATTTTACAGTCCTCTCACAGGCTGGCTGAAAGGATAGTGACATCCTGGTTTGTGGTATTTGTGTTCCAGAAGAAGCTGCACGCTCCCTGTTCCTCTGCATTTTATTCTCTTTTATCCTTCATTACAATAAGGGAAGTGGGGGGGCTGGATGGGGGATTTCATCTGAAACGGTAGACTTTTGTCAAAATTATGCTGGAGGACACCCATGCACCGTTTATTCTGAATCTGATGTTTGAATTTTTCTACCATCTGATACTTTTGAAGCAACAAGAGGTAGAATTAAATGTACACTGTTACAGAAAAAAGACCTACTGAGAAAAAGGGATCACTGGCAGTTGGATGTAGCTTGACCTTGGAAGATCCACAAATATTAGACAGCTTCACTTTTTAAAAGAAAAAATACAGTAATCAGTTACAGGGAAAAAAGGCACTAACTAATAATATACTAATATTCCCTGAAGATGTGTAGGCTATAATACTTTGTCAATACAAAATGAGGATTATGAAACTTGTATTCAACTTTCCTAAACTACACCTCTATGGGGAAAAAATCCTAATATAAATATGCAGGAAACAAACCCCATCACTACAAATACTTGCTATCATTATCTAATAACAGACCTCTAGTTGAACTGGAAAAATTAACTCCGAGGAACAGTAATCAATGGTTTGTTCTTGACTCCATCATCTCTTAGATCTGGTCCTTCTTTCACTAGGAATAAGAGGCCACAAAGGACCTAAGAGTACTGGAGATTGGAGAAGAGACATAGTTTCTTTACTCAAAAAAGGTACATACGCAGAAGAGACTTCATCCAGTTCCTCCCGCAGCATCCTGAGTGCTTGGCCTTGTTCCACTTGTGTCCTTTCCCTCTGGGGAAGCACTCCTTCCAAGCGTATCCCCAACTGGGCCAATAGCCGCAACACCTCCTTCTGGGCCAGCTCCAGCATGCATTTCCTACAGTGAGATGTGATAGAAAGAGAGCAGGTTGGAGGATATCTTGATGCCTCCAGCAAAATCAAGGCTTCTTCCCATTCCCTCCTCAGAGAGGTACCAAGAGAGCAACAGTGCACTTCTGGAGATCACTCTCCCCAAAGATGGGCAACCTTGGGGATCATGCTACTTATGAGGTACAAAAATTGTTTGGAGACCCCACTCGCCATCCCCTATTCCAGCAATTGCCATGAGATCTTACCAACGAAAGTCTTCTACTTGAACCTGTTGCTGTAAGTTACGCAGTTTCTCCTAAACAGAGTAGGGGAAGTGACAGAGAAAGAACAAGATTAACTTGTGGTATTTAGTATATGTATACATGTGCTGCTCTCTTTTCCAATTAGCATGCCAATACAGTAAAGTTTTTTAGAGTTCAAATCCACAAGAAAGTAACAGGGAGCAACAAAAGCAACAAAATACTTTTCTCCAACCTGGCAACATCCAGATGTTATAGATCACAATGCTCTTAATTCCCAACCATATAGCTGGGTTAGCTAGTCATTCCAGTTGTGGTAGTCCAATACATCTGGACTCATTGTTCATCTAAAAGATATTCTTCACCTCAAAGTGAACCTTTAGAAAACACAACTCAGCAAATCTTCAGAAAAATGCAGTCTTGTGTTGCTTTCTTTATGAGTGCTGGTAGTGAAATCCAAATAATTCCAAACCTTTCAAATGTAATAAGAGGGTAAATGAAAAGGACAAACTGCAGGATCACTTAGAGCATGTAAAAAAGAGATGGTTCAGCCAGAAACCAGAGGATGGGCAAGATGGAGAATTTGCATCATCCTTTCCTCCTCCTCCTTCTCTTCCCTATTTAGGAGTCTACAGAGGATAATAACTTAATATTGCTATCTTGACACTTAACCATATAACACTCAGATAACCCACCAGGAAATATGACCATAACTAACTATGGTGATTAATTAGATTTCTACTCCAACTTTGAATGAGAAATTGAAGCTGGCAAGATTACTTCTAATTTTTCTGGTTTCTTCCAGTGTTATTCCTTTCAGGGGACTGGGTTAATAGAGGGTGGGACAGGCCCAAAAAACCCCAGTCCCTCCCTTTATATATGGGAACCACAATCTCTTCAATGCCAGTCCAAAATTAACCTGTACTCAACGCTGGTGAGACTGAGAATTTAAAAAGCAAAATCTCTGAAAAGATTAAACAACAAACCATTTTCATATTGTTGTTAAAAATATATGCCAGAAGGAATCAAATATGATTGAGGGTGCTTATTTCTCTTGCATGCATCTCCCTTTTCTAAATTTTCCAACAATCATTTTGTGCATAGGTGAGCCTGGGAGAGTTTTGATGATTGATTATGGATCTGAATTATAATCTCCTTAATCCCTAGTAGAGGATGATTTTCTTTTGCTAAAAGATTCATGGGAAAGGGTTAAAAGACGCTTAGGGGCAAAAATGGGCATCCTCTCTCTCACCTCCAAGAGGGCTGAGTTTTCTTCCAGTACGCTGGTCTTTATTTCGGCATCCTCCACAGATTTTGTCACTTTTCGACAGCTTTCCTTCAAGAAATTTCAGAGGGGGGAAAAAAACTCAGGTGGCCAAGCAAGCAAACAAAAGGAATGAGCTGGTATGGATTTGCATTCAATGTTGTGCATCTCCTTTTCTACAAAAGTATTTTCAAGAAGTTAGGACAGGGAGCAAATGGAAAATTATCCCATTTCTCTTTTTTATGATAAATCTGATAACTTGTGAACCTCTATTAAAGGATGAGTTCAATATCCATTTCATTACAGCATTGGAAAGAAAAAACAGCACCTCATTAACTCTCTCCCACATCCAAATCTCTACTCCCAGAGATTTTGTTTAAAGGAAAACTATTTTAATATTTGCAATCGTCCCTATCATTTCACTGAATATATAATAAAAGCAAAAACGTTATCTTAAATTCCGCTTTGGCAATTCTAAAGCAAGCATTGCACCTCCTGCCTACTGTGCCCCGAGCTATCTAGCAGCATTTGGCCATTTTCCATGTACTGTTTTCTTCTAGAGAAAAATCTACTTGGCAAGGAGGTCTGCTTCAGCCGTTTGGTTCTGTGAGGCTGATCTTAACTGTCTTGCAATGGAGCAATGGTCCTCTTACAAAAAAATATCATATTATGATCGAACTTGCCTTGACCCAGGTTGCCTGATTACCTTGTCTGGCCCATCCTATTCGTACCGGCACAAGGGCTTACTTCAGAACCCATCAGTGAAAGGACTCTGACTATCGAGATTAGAAAAAGAGTTTTCTCTGCTGCAGCATCTATCCTTTGGAACATCTTATTGTCCTGGGTAAGATCTGTTCCCAGCTTCCTATCTTTTCATAAGAGTTTGAAGATCTGGTTGGCCTTGGGACCAAATGAGGGGAATTCCACATTGGAGGTAGTTGCTGAATTGATGGCAGACTCCACCTCTCCTATCCCTTGCCCTCTGCTCTCTACCCACCCATCTTTTTGATTATCATATACCTTGTATTCGCTTGTGCTCCTTTTTCATTGTTTACTGTATGAGTTCTAGTATTTTCCTTCTGTTCTGTTTACATTTTTTTCATTTTCTTCCTTATTATTATTGTAAGCTGTCTCACAGCAGACAGGCAACAAATAAATTTAAACACAAACAAACAAACAAATAAAATAATCATTGCGTGTAAATACAATAGCTCTGAGACAATGCTTGTAGGCTGTCAGAACCTGGATGGGGAGAAATAGACTCAGATTGAACCCAACCAAGATGATGTAGACATTAATTCAAAAGTCAAGGAATCTTCCTTGACCTACGGCTCCTGTTGGAAGATAGGCCAAAAAGGGTTTTGCCTAGAAAAATGTCTGTAAATTGGTTTGGAACAATTATATTTGATTTGTGGATTATTCTGTTATGTATATGAATTATTGTATTTGCTTGTAGTGTATTCATTGTACACTTACTTCAATAGATTAAGCAGTAGTAAACCTAAAGTGTGATATCACAGTGCTCCAGGTTAGTCTCTGAAAGCCTGACAGATTTTACACAGAAAGCCGGATCACTGTTAGAATTCCCTCTCATTCTGCCTACAGAAGCAGCTGTGAGCTTGACCAAAGTTTGGAGCAGGGTCTGACAGGAGCTGTGTAAATGCAAGCCCATGGCTTATGCACCCAAAGTTGAATTGCTGTCAGAAGTTGCTCTCACACAGCTTGGACATCAGCAACCAGCTTTTCCAAGCAGAGCTCAAAAAGTAAAGCCAACCAAATGAGGCAAAATTAAATCTGATTTCACAGGATGGACAGAATTTAGCCTCTCCTCTCGCAAATTGGCCAAGTGAGTTGGACTGAAGCATTCTTGCATTGGTAACCTTAGGAAGGAGACTAATTCCATTCTGTATTCCTGCCTATAAAAGCAGAAAGAGAATGGTGAACCTGAGACGCTAAAACTTCAGTTATGTAGTAGCCTATACAAATAACCTACAGCCTCCAGACCTGCAGATTCTGAAGATGGTGGGTGACCTTGGATGTCTTCTCTTTGAGGCTGGTGATAGAATCCTTGGCTCGTAAAAGGCCACTATTACTCACTTCCTGCTAGGAGAAAAAGCAAGAGGAAACTGATCAAGCAAATCACAACCCACTTACTTCTGACTAATACACATTTTCAGACATTTATTTCAGTCTCTCAATGGTTTTAAAATGGAGAGGGGGCAGCTGTCAGGTATGACAGCCCACACATCTAAACTATTTGATTGTTCTATGTCTATTTCACAAGAACCTTCCCAGACTGGCAGCTTGGTTTGGGAAAGACAAGATAAAACTCAAAGCACTGGGGTGGGGTAGGGTGTTAGATCTTGCCTCATGTGTTTATATAGTGAGTCCAAGCTAATTCCCTGCTTGAGCCCTTCTCCAAACTGGGATGATTGTTTACCAGCATCATCTGAAAAACATTATCTACATTTTAGAGAGTTAAGACGGGTCTTGTTAGGGATCTAAAAGTTCATTACTGATAGTTAGAATCTTTCAGTGACAAAGTAGAAAATTAAGCTTGTATGTACAATATACTCTTCATAGCTGGGGGTGGTCAAGGCAAAGAGGACAAAGAAATATTTGGAACAATATAAAAGGCCATGCTTGGGTGTAGAAAATAAATGAAGAAAAAGGAATGGCATAAACAGATCAATATAGAAGTAGGACTGCAGAAGAATAAAATCTTCAAGAAAAGCCCTTTTCAGGAAAAATATAAAAATATTTGTAACAATATACATTGTTAAGTTCAGGATTGGTAAGAATATGAAGTTAACAACAAATTAAAAGAAAAACAAACTAAGATTGCTTGCCCAAACAAATGCTGATCCCAACATAAAAAATAGGAATTATTTTCTAGAATGTTATAGAACAGGAGTGTCAAACTTGATTTCACTGAAGGCCACATCAGGGTTGTGTTTGACCTTGGGGGCTGGAGTGGGAGTGGATGGGATGGGCGTAGCCAGCTCAAAGTCACTTGTGTTGGGGTGCCTGTGGTGGCCCGAGTGCTCTGCCAGCGGAAACGGGTTTTTGAGCTACATTTTTGGTTGTGATAGCCTCCTGCAACCCTCTGCCAGCGAAAACAGTGCAGGAGGGCCGCCTATGGCCTTCCCGGGCTCCATTTTTGTTGGCAGAGGCACTGTGGGCCGGTCCTTTGCTATTTCCAGGCGGCCCCACAGGCCAGATCAAAGCACCACACGGGCTGCATCCAGCCCCCGGGCCTTGAGTTTGACACCAGTGTTATAGAAGGCCCACAATTGAATTATTCTCTAAAAATATAGTGTTATAATCCTCTGGCTTTGGAATCAATTGCAACCTCTGACTAGACATCCAGTACACCATCTGGAAGCGTTCCTGAATTTGCAAAAGCATCAGTAAGGGATTCTTTGTTTGGCTTAAACCTTGGTTGCTATATATTAATACTATTTTAATTTTTCTCTGAATATGGAAGCTAGAAGAGAGAATAGCAGATATAGGCAAAACTAGAAGTTCCAGCAGGATTGACCCTTTCTGTTCACTAAGGAAAGATGAGAGACTTGGAAGTAACATCTTTAAAGTGGAATGTGGACTGAAAAAATAGATAGACTTAAAACTCATCAAGAATACAAACTTTTGGGGGGGGATTTGTAGAAAGAAACTCTTACTCAATTATAGCATTAAAAGTAGTTTTATGCACCTCGAAAACAACTGTATTATGGCATAAAAGTAGCTCTTAGAGACCTAATCAAGTTATTGTTTAAAGTGTCATGTTCTTTTTTGGGGAAGTGGGGTGGGGAATACATTTTTTTTTAATTTGTCTATTATTAGAACAATGCTTCAGGGCTGTATGCTTAATTGACAAAGCAGCAACAGGTACCATATGTGCGACTGTGTCGCATTGCCTCACCTGCTGGCTGGAATTATCATCTTCATCTTCTGACCAAGCTGGCTTGATGGGAAACAGAGGATCCCGTCTTTCGCCTCCAGTTCCCCCTGGTAAGCCTCCGTCATCTGTGGATTCATTCTCGGTGGTAGAATCATCACGTTCCCCATCAGTTAGATTCAGAAGAGAGACATTAGTGCAAGCAGAAGAACGCTTCAAATTCAGATTGGGACTTTCAGTGGTAAAATGGGGTTCAACTCTGGTTTGAGAAAAAGTTCATTATCCTTAGATAGAGTACTGGACTACTTTATTTCTTACATAATATATTGAAGAGAGATAGGTACAGCAAAGGATCTTCAGATGCCTTTATCTAACATATTATTTGGCAACCTAAGATTTTGGGATTACTGTACAGAAATGCCAGAAAATTATACTGAAAATTTTGAGAGTTAAAGTCCAACAAGTTGGTAGACATCTGCTCTTACTTTGTTATTGCATCATTTATATCCCACCCCCAAGTTTAACAAAATTTTGGTGACTCACATAAAATCCTATTGATCTCTCTAATAAATTCCAATAGCAGAACAAGGAGTAGACTGTTCTAGAAGATAGAGCAATAGTAAAAAAAAAAAATTCCCATTCTCCTAATTCTTGAAATGGGAGAGAATCCAAAGAAATAGCACAGCACCTATTTGGAGAAGGTCATTCTTAAAGTAGCACAGTCCAAATCATGGAAGGCTTTAGCCTTCAGAATTTTATACAGGAAATGTGTTAATTAATGCAGAGACCTCAGTATAATGCTGCCCTGCTGAAGCAGATCTCAACTCACAGCCTGTAAGCACCAACTACAGTTTTAGATCATTTTCAAAGGTAGCGTGATATTTCGAACACATTAGAGTAAAAAGGTAATGAGAATAAGAGTGACTATTGCCAATGTCTTCCACTCCCAAGGGACACAACAGAAAACTAGACATCATTGGAAAAGACTTTCCTGATAATATAATTCACCTGCTAATTCTAATTCTGTCAAGGAATGCAAATCTCTATAAAATCAACACTGGGGCACAAAATAAGACCAATTGTTTCTGAACAAGAAATAACTTCTCTGCTTGCTGTGATTTGGTTTAACCTAGTTTCTTGCTATTCCATTTAATCTTTCACTTTTCACACACTGCGTGAGGATCTCCTCTGCATTTTCTGCTGTTAAGGCTATAAAGTTCGGTATAGTTATGTATAGTAACTCTCCCTCCAAACTAACAAATGACCTCTCCCAAAGGTTTCATTTAAATAAATAAACAGTAGAGGGGAGAGAATCAAGTCCTGGGGCTTTGTATGTTCAAGTGCCCCAAGGTCTCATTTTTCTTCTCTTAATATTACCAAATATAACCAACCACTCGCTTATGAAAGAATGGAATTGGTGCAGGATAATGCCACCCACCCATCCACTTGCACAACACCCATCTCTTAGATAGTCCAGTTTTGTGCTCAGTGGCACAAAACTTTATGAGAAGTCTAAATGAACAAGAACATGGTCCGTGCATCCCATAAGAGCAGCTGAAACAGTTTCTGTACCACAGCCAGATCTGAGAAAACTTGGAATGAAAGAGATCAAATTATCCACTTTATCCAGTATTGTCTGCAACTGACACCCCACTATTTTCTTCAAGATCTTCCTGGGGAAAAAGGAAGTCTGAAGACCAGGCAGAAGGTATCCAACACAAGCAGATCATGAGCCATTTTCTTCAAGATATGGAGGATGCCCCTTCCTTCCTTAGGGAAGCATTAACTTCCTCTCAAATATGACCACAAACACATGCATGCAGAGGAGCTAGTGGAACATGCCTGACAAAATTAATGTATATAGTTTTACAAACAAATGTCTTACTTAAGAGAGCAATATTAAGAGTCATGTACATAGAAAACCTGGATGTTTTTCCCGCGCTATGTTTGAAGCCAGAAGATGAAGAAGAAAACGGGAAGCATTTTTTTCCCATTTGCTTGTGCTGGAATCAGCAATAAGTCTTTAGAAAGCACAGGGAGAGAGCAAAGACGTGTATATTTTCCCCAAAAAGTAAACTGAGAGTGTGAGTTCATGGGCTTGAATCCGGGCAATGTATGCGGAAGAAGGGCTGGCTGGCTGGCTTTTGAGATATGAGCAATGGTTCTGCGTGCCGTTAGAACCCAAAACCAGACCGAGCTAGGAACAAGCCAATGCTGGTGGTGTGTTAGGCTACCTGCAGGCAAGATGGTCTCTCCTAAGCCTCGGTTAGTAGCAATAACCACTATTGCACTACCTGCTCTTGATCAGATGAGATCCACTGCCCTCTTAGCCCAGTGTTGGACTACAAACCTTCATTATTCTCAGCCAGCTTTACTACATAGGTTAAAAATTCTGGGAGTTGTATCCAACAAAGCTGGGATCTGAGGACAGCAATTTTCTATGAACTGAAGGAGAAAAGTTTTTTTTTTTTTTTGCATCTTCTACTACCAGAAGCCTTTTCACCTGAAGATGCCGTGGATTGAATCCGAACCTTTTGAACACAGATGTGCTACTGTGCATCCCGTTTCCTATATGTTCTCACATGTTGCAGCTATTAAACTCTACCTCCACCCTTTTACCTTCCCAGGTGACCCACCCATGGAAAGAGACGGCTTTCTTCTTTTTGGGGAAGCCTTTGATGCTAGTAGGCTTTCCCAGCTGATCCTTGGTGCCCTGAGCCCGACTCTCAATCCCTATTGGTGTGTCTCCAGCCTCATTTATTTCTTTGGACTGCCAGATGGTCTTCACCACAATGTTGGCCATTATAGGCTGGGTCGATATCTAATATGAGCACAAATTTTCTTGCCTGCACCACACCAGGAAACACCTATTACCCATAAGCCAACTGGCTCTCTAGGTAGGGCAGGAATCTTCCAGCTGCTTTCATGACCTCACAACAGTTGCCATGGGGCTGGCAATCACATGGCCCACCCTTCCATCCACCATTGTACCACCAACAATCAGCACAGTCTTCAATAAAAAGAAAAGCAATGCAAATAATTCTTTCCTAATTTGAAAGAATTGCATGGATTGAGCTAAAGAAATATATTTAACTGCTAATTGCCTTTTCCCCCCATACTTTGCCCAGGTTAGATTCAACAACTACAATTAGTTATTGGTTTGTTATTTCTATAAATCACAGTTAAACAATCAACCAGATTTACATATCACACATAAACTTATGCATAAAAGTTCACACCATATAATAACTCTTTATTATCTGAGGAAACGTCTCTTGCCGGTCAAATCTACCTGACCCATTGGAGCGGGGAGCCAGGGAATGTCTCAGGTCCCATCCCTGAGGGAGATACACCTGGTGGGATTCAGAGGAAGGGCCTTCTCCGTAGTGGCTCCCTCTCTGGAACATCATTCCCCCAGAGATTAGAATGGCCCCACTCTTCTGGAAGGCGCTGAAGACCCAGTTCTGCCAGTGGGCCTAAGGAACCCAGAGCAGGACAGAGCCCATTAAATGGCTCATGTGATCTGCTGTCGCCAGGGCGGGAAGTGATTTTGTTATATTGTACTATATCAATTTATTTGATTCTTTTTGTTAGTTTTTGTTGTTTTAAATGTGATTTTATATTCTGTAAGCTGCCTTGAGTCACTATGGGTGAATAGGCAGCAATATAAATTCAATTAATTAATATTACCAAATATTTATCTATTTATGAAGTGAAACACATAATTCATGAACTATCAAAGACACCTGACTGATTGCTCAGACATTGGGCTGGTTCAAATGCAATGCTATCAAAGACTAGTACAGGAGTCCTCGAGTTATGACCACAATTGAGCCCAAAATTTGCTGTTAAGTGAGACATTTGTTAAGAGAGTTTTGCCCCATTTTATGACCTTTCTTGATAGTTGTTAAGTGAAGCACAGAAGTTCTTAAGTTAATAACACTGTTGTGAAGTGAATCTGGCTTCCCCATTGACTTTGCTTGTCAGGTCACAAAAAGTGATCTCATGACCCCCAGGACACTGAAACCATCATAAATATGAGCCAGTTGCCAAGCATATGGTCACTAAATGAATTGTTGTAAGTCGAGGACTACCTGTAGTGCTCTAGAGTAAACCAAAGAAAAAAATCGTATTTCTTTTGATCAATATGAAATGTTGACTATCCACAATAGTTGAGTGGATGTTATGCTTAACCACTTGAATAAACCCACCAGAATGAGTTCACATTCCACAATTAACTGACCAGATATCAAGTTTTTCTTTCTCAACTCAACCTAGTTAAGATCGTTGTTGCATTGACATAAAATGAGGAGATAACTCTAGATATGCCAATTTGAACTCCCAAAGAAAAGGCAGGATATGAATGCAATAAACATATTCGTTGGCTAGTTTCTATATAACTCCAAACCATAATCTCTTCCTTTACCTTAGTAAATGAAAATCCACCTATACCTTAGTATAATATACATGCCATGCCATTATATGTCAAACAAAGCTTTAAAATTTCATCTTAACTGTTTCAGTCGGTTTTTGAAACTGTATTCAGGTAACTTAAAAGGATCTATGTAGCAAATAAGCTAAGCCACAGGTTCACATGCACCACCATAAAAACAATACTCCCACTGCACAGCTTGAGTTTCCTTAGTTCCTACACATACTCCCATGGAAAGGCAGGACAAATGATTTATTAAAAGCATTACTGGGAAAACATTTCTCCAGCAGGAATTTTTTTTTTTTTAATGAATGAGAAAGGAAAGGAAGTAGAAATGTAAATGCTGGAGGATATTTAACATTGTGGCCACCCTAACAAAAACGGAATATACGTGTGGTTTTAGTTCTAATGAAATAAGTTACACTGATTCTTTCCTAAAGTAAATTCTGTCCTTAAAGGAGAAAGAAAAAAAATCCCCTGAGGAACTGGAAGACATGAAATCGCCCTTTACACCCGGCCGCCCTTGTTCGTCGTGCCTTCTCTTCCCGAAGCCAATTGGCTGAAATTTGATGACGATCCCCGCCGTTCTTTTCCTTTCTTTTGCCGCCCTTCCACCGCCAGCCTTTTCGGCCAAAAAACCACGGACTTTAACTTGGAGGACGTGGACTTCTCGCCCAATAACCAAGAACACTTCCCCGCCCAGCAGCGAGCCGAGATTCCGCTTGCTGATTTCGCAAGAGGAAATGGGCGGGGCAGCCTTTGACTGACATGTCTTAAAATCGATCAAGATATTCAAACCGAAGAGGCACAGTGGGGGGCCGGTTTAGGTGGGCTTCTTGGGAAACCATGTCCAATGGAAAATGCAGAATTGCAGAGGGGACTTATTTGACATTAAGATTCACCGGATCCAATAGGGAGAGGAGCAGGCGGGATTTAAACCTACTGACCAATCCCTTAGAAGGCTGGCTTATTTCTGTCAATAGAAAGCACCGCGGGTTTGAAAAGCGGCACCTCTACCCAATAGGGAGTGAAAACGTTTCGTGACGGATGGAATGAGGAGCCAATCGGAAATGTTAGGGTCGGTTCGGTGCAGCTGGGCCAGGTTCGGGCGCGGAACGGAGCATCGCCGTGGTCCCGATCCTCTATCGTCACCATGCCGGCCGTTTCCAAGGGAGACGGGATGCGGGGCCTGGCCGTATTTATCTCCGATATCCGAAACTGTAAGTGATTGCGGCTGTGGGAAGGACAGGAGGGCAGAGGAGGATCCTTCAGAACCGAATGAATCTTGTATACGCGCTTGGGGGGGGGGGCGGATTGGACCTTGGGGAGAATTCGGGCGGGTGGAAACGGCTCGTGATTGTGCTCGGCGGCGCCGGCGGAGGAAGAGTTGAGTGTGGTGATGGGTTTAGTGGGGGGCCTCAGTCGACTGAAGGCAAAAGACTTGAACCTCGGGGAGAAACGCTTGCTGCCCGATCGCCTGCCCAGTGGGGCTTCGGAAAAGAGAAAGCAGGTAGGCTGGAAGGAGGCGACCTAATGTCAAGGTAAGGGCGAGGCTGCCAGCCACCAGGCATGCCCGCGGTTTGGATAGGCAGAGGCCTGTCAGTCATTGGAGGAGGATACAAGTTGGGTAAATATGGCACAGGCAGCGGGGGATGCTGGCTAATTGAAGGCATCCCCCGTGTGAAGGTGGAGATCATTCAACCTGGGATTTGTGTCTCTTCTGGCTATTTTGCTTAATCCGGACATTTGTATTATTTAACTCAAGAGGTGGTGGGGAGAGAAGCGGAAAAGTTGTTTAGAGAGGTGGAAATTAGGGATCATGGCCATTATAGGGAAATCGGAGTGGTGGAGAATAAGAAAGGGGTTCTGAGATTTGCTTAGGGATAAGGTTCCATCCCTCCTACTTCCTGCTGCCCCCATATATAAATATATTCAAAGATATTGCCTGGAGGTAGACAGCTGTCATATTTGCTAAATGAAATAGACTAGGGCTTGCTTTTGTAAATTTGGGGGGAAGATGGTATGTATTTGGGAGTCTGTGTGTGATGGCTTTAAAAAGGGCTCTTGGATCTTTGCAAAAGGACTTAAATGTAGGCTTACTATATTTGGTACAAAACTCCTTGAAATTACTTCTCTGTACAGTATTTTTCACTATCTAGATTTTTGCAGTCTAAATGTAAGCTTTACTGCAGGGACATTGCTGCAAATAAGAGGTTACTGTTTAGAATCTCCATAAGAGTAACAAAGATTGAGGAATTCAGATTGTCCCATGGAAAACAAATTAAACCAGTGAAGGTTTCTAGTCACTATAAATTGTCAGCTTTTCTATGACATTCATGTCCCATTACTATCAGTTTGAAACTAGAGAGGTTTTAGTTGTCATGGAGTATGGTTAAAGCATATATTTGTAGCTTCCTTCAGTAATGCTGAAAAAAAAATCCAATTACTGGCTTTAATAGCATGTATTCAGGTCCTAATTTTTCAGATATGCTTCTTTAGTCATGAAAAAGCTCTAATGATCAGGAGACTAACAATGTTACAGTATATTTTAAAACATAGAGATTTTAAGTCAGATCTAGATTTTTTTTGTTTAGACTTTGGTATGGTTGTTTCATTGTGACTGAATAATATTACATTTGTTTGGTTCAATCTTTTTTCCCCCTAGTTCCTTCTCAGAAATCCTAAACTTTGCCCCCACCTTTCCTTTTTTCAGCCAATGAAAAAGCATGTTGCAATGTTACTTTACATGCAGTAAGGCTAGAGCAGTTGCTAGAGCAGTTTTTTGGGAACCAGCAACAAAACTCACACAATCTTTTTTTAGGTTCTGACTGGCTGATTTTCCTCTAAACCATCCCTGCAGCTCAATGAAAAAGTCTAGATGTTAGCATGATAACTCCACTATTCTGGAAAACATATTAAAAGCTGATTTTATCAGGTAGTTGTAATTATGTTGCAACAACTTCTGTATGCTGAAATTTCAGGGAAAAGTCATTCTGTAGCCATGTGAATTGGCCTAGCACCAGAAGACCATATAAGCCAATTTGCTTGGAAGCAGAAGCTTTCCATGTGTGGGATTCTTGGCCTTAATGCCACTAGCCTTAACATCTCTGAAAATATTACCAGATGAGACTGTAACACCATGGATTTATTTGAAAGTTTCAGCTAAAACAGGATTATTAAATCTAATGGTCTGCAGATTTCAGGTGATAACCGCCATTATTCCCTGCCAGGAATTATGGAAGTTGTTGTGCAAAAGATTTTGAGGTTGTTCACTCCTAAGATTAAAAAGGATAAGATCTTTTATCTGAAGAAAAAAAATATTACAGAGCAATGGTGCTTCATAATATGAATTAGTACAGTTTCTTCTGTTTTATGAATGTAGAAAATTCAATATGCCTGTTTTTAAATTGCTTCATGTAAGCATACTTTCTTGCACATCATTTATATCTGGTTAGAGATGTCAGAAAAAAATTGGGAAGGGATTGTGACACATTTCCAGAAAGGTATTGCCTAAAACAGTCAAATTGGAAAGGAAGGTTCTATGGCTTTAACAACTGTGGGGTATTTTGTTAGATGCAGCTTGTCATGCATAGACAACAAAAGCTGCAGCTGCCAACATTTCTTTGTAAAAGCAGCAATTAAAAATGAAGAAGCCATGTCCTTGTCCAATGCCCATCCTAAGTCTTAGAAAATACTCTGTTTATAATAATGTAGATTAGTGAATGAACAGGACCTGATGTTTTTTGCTATAGTATAATCAATAGAAGTCAGGCATATATTTCCCAAGGCCTCAGGATACATATTTTAAGATGTTATGGGAGATCTTTGAATCACTAAATGAGCAGAAATGGGTGCTGGAATTTGTGGGAGTGGAGAGAAATTTCAACAGAGAACACATCAGATTGATTTAAACTTTGCTTAGCAATAGAAAATGAAGCAATAAGAACCCAGGGAAACCTTCCGGTTTGGGTTTCTTCAGCGACAGACCAAAATCTGTGATTGTGCGCGGTTTCAATCTGTGCTCGCCGCTGGAGCGCCCCGATCCTTTGGATTTGGGGCTGAAGCTACCCCGTAGAGGTGGTGAAGAGGGGGGAGATTGCTAGCCGAGTGGAGGGGAGCTGCATTTCTCCTCCTTGGCTGGTCTAAACTCCCTTTCCCGAAGGCGGTTGCAGCGGTGGTCAGAAATGGCCACCTCAAAGAAGAACCCGACTGGATAAGATTGTGCAGGAGGAAGACAAAGAGGAAAGCAGGATAGATCGGGCTAAACAACAGAGAACATCTAAGCAAGGTACCCTGAATCTAAAAGTACCTAGAGGGATACTTCTGAAAGAAGACTTTTAAGCGGCGAAGAAGAGAGAAAAGGAGGTTAAAAACCCTTTTTTTTACCTTTAGATTGACAATTACAAATGGTATGGAAAGAAATCTATATTAATCTACTTTGACACTAATAGGCAACTTTAAGTGAAATTTAAGTGTCAAAAGGAGAATAAAGATTTTTTTTCTTTGATCATTTTAAAGCCCTAAAAAGGAGAAAAGTGGAGGCAAAAGGGTGGAACTTGGAATAATGAAAAAACAGAGTGCCACCTGGAAAAATAAAGAGGATTAATAGCGAAACTTTGAAAAGACTCCCGAGGATACATTGTAACTGAAACCTTATTAAAAGATACAGTAAGCCATGGAAAGGAAAAGGAAAGGAAAGAAACAAGAAGGAACAGTCTGGGATCATTTGGTGACATTAAAAAAAGATTTTGGCATTGGTTTTTTCTTTCTTTTTCTGTTTTTACTTAAAGTCAATCGGGTGGTTGTTCAAAAGTTTAAAATAGCATCACTCCTGGAGGAATTGAAGATGAGTCTTAAAAAACAGAAAGAAGATGCAGAAAGGGGAGGAAGATCCTTTGGCTTCGTATTTGAACTTCTTGAAATGGAGATCCTGAACTATGAAAAGGAAAAGGAAAAGCTTCAAGAGCAAGAAGAAGGGCGGGACAAAGAAGAAGACATTTTCAATGATCAAATAATGCAAAGTGTGGTAATAAGGGGGAAAGGGGGGAAAGAAGTTAAAAGTTTGAGATCAAAGGGAACAGCCAAAAAGAAAAATAGTCTGAAAAGGAAGTATAACAGCAAGGAGAAGCAGAAAAGAAAACCACAGAAGGGAAAATTAGAGAGAGAAGGGTATAAAAAAAGGGATGAGAAAAAGGGGGGGAAGATAGAAAGGGAAAGAACTCATGAGGGACAAAAACAGGAAATAAAGAAAAAGGGGAAACTTACTAGGATTAAAGGTATTTGCTCAGCTAGAAAACAGAGAGACAATGGCTAAATTAAGTTAAAAGTGAGGATTCTGCAAAGGTACAAAAGATAGTGTTGTTACAGTAGAATACTGTAATGAGTTAGAAATGAAATAAGTAAATAATCTATGAGATAAAACTGTATTGTTATGTAATGGTATGTTTATAATTAATACAATAATAAAGAAGAGAGGGAAACGTAATTGTTTCTAAAGATTGATAAAATATTGAAAAGAAATGTGAAAGATTTATAAGGGAATTTATACCAATTACTAGAGTGAATTTGAATAATTAATTTGCTTATTAATAGTAAATAACTTATAAGATTAAACTGTATAACTATCCAATGTTATGCTTATTAACAGTTAAATAATAAGGAAGAAGGGAGGGAAACATTTCAACTGATAAATATTGAAAAGAAACGTGAAAGATTTACAAGGCTCATACCATTATTAGAATGAATTTGAATAACTATTTTGTTCACTAATGTTTATATATATATATTGTTTTTGCTATGTTTTTAGAATTTTTCTTTTTACATTTTTAAGGGGAAGTACCAAGCAGAGTCTGAATGACGCGATTTACATGTTATAAAATAGATATTAGAAATTTGAATGTTATAATTTTAGAATGCACAAATTTAATGTTTAATGAAATTTCATATGATAATAACAATAAGACTTAAAGGTGTTGCACTCCGATTGGCAATCATAGAGTGGAATTTTGCTTTTTAAGAATGTTGGAAGAGAACATAATGAAATTGTAAACAAGACAGACGAAAGTATAAGTATAATGAATAAAAAGATATAGAAATTTAGGTAAAAGAAATACAATTAAATAAGAAAATGAGATAATCATAAAAGAAAATTAAGAGAAGTAAAGGGAGAAATAGTTCGAAGTTTGAAAAAGAGTAATAAGATATGAAGTTGAATATATATAAGATGAATATGCATGTGAAATTGTGTCTGTATGGAAATGTGATAACCCGGAACCATGCTGTACTCAAATAAGATGTTTTATTTGTTTTGTTAAAACTTAATAAAACTTTATTTTAAAAAAAAGAACCCAGGGAAACATAGAGGAATATGTGGGAAGAGCTATGTTCAAAATGTTAGACGAAAGGCTTAATTTTATTAAACACATTTTTTTGGGTGGAGAGAGATGTAAGAGGCCTAACAATTGCATAAGATCTGATGGCCACATTACTAAGGAATGTCACATTTCAAACTGGGCTTAGAACTTTCTGATGTGCAAGAAAGCATAGCTATGATGAAATACAGGCCCTTGAAAGCTTTTGTGAACTTCCCATTGGACAAGCAGGATGTGATAAATACAGTAAACACATTTTTACAGATCTGGTGGCCACTAATTCCTGTGGTATGGAGTTTTTTAGATATGCATTCATATATTCTTTGGTAATCTTTTAAAATGGAATCTGTTTCTAGATTTCATTGAATTATAATTCAGATAAACCTGAGCATAAACCAATGGACAAGGAATTGGGAATTGTAATCCAACATGTTCTGGAAAAGGAATTTCCCCACTGAATATAGTTGTATCTACCCAAAGAGATGAACAAAGAGCTCTTACATTGCTTGTTCTTAAGGAACAGCTATTCTTGAGCAAAGGAAAAGTTGGCAGGCCTTAGATTATCTCAACAGGGTGCTATTGGGACAAAAGAAGAAACCCCTATGAGTGTGATTTTTGTTTGAACATCCCAGGAAGGGGAAGGAAGGAAGGAAGGAAGGAAGGAAGGAAGGAAGGAAGGAAGGAAGGAAGGAAGGAAGGAAGGAAGGAAGGAAGGATTTGAGGAAACACAGCTTTCTCTTTTTAGAGGCTGATTTCCCTGCCCCAAGACAGGGGATAAGAAGTAGTAGTGTTTGGATCATATGCTTTTGGCAGGTGGAAGAAGGAAGCATGTGTTTTGGGTTCTAATGCCTTTTTCATCTTCCTTTTATCTTTGGAATCTGCATGCCAGGAAATAAACAAAGAAATATGATAGCCTTGAGAGGATCACTTCCATGGTATTATGTAAATAATAGCACCCACCTTGTGATAACTCTCCAATCGCACTGTCAGTTAACCTGAAACCCAATATGAGGGCTTGATGAACTAAAATGGGAATAAACTGCAGGGTAATACATGCATGTATCTCATTATTCTTGACCTTTGCGTGAATGGCTAATTCATTGTGAAATTATGATTTAAAGAAAGTTTATTTCTAGCTTGAATTGGCATCTTAGCATATAATTCTGTGATTGGAAACCCAAGGAGTAACCTTTTGGGGTGTTTTTTTTTCCTTGAGAGAAGAATAAATGGGTTAAATGTACTAGTACATTGTTTCACGCTTAGAGGTGGATGGATCTACTTTAATTATTTGTTTTTTAAATTATTATTTATCTCTTCTGAAGGAATTTGAGACATCTCAAATAATATTCCCTCTCATTTGCATCTTTCACTTATTTTAGCACGATGTTTCCCACTATTACATCATGCTGTACCTGTTGGTTGCATGGAGTTAAATAAGGGAACCTAACAGAAGAAATGGAAGGGAAGACATGGCAATCCTAATTCAGCAGAAAAGATATTGCTAGACTATTTAAAGCAAAGGGCTCAAAGCCCTTCACTTCCATTGCAGAATTTTGCAATTTAATTTTCTTCTATATTCATTTAAATAAAATCCAAAGGATGTTATGCTCTATTATTGATCAATGAAATTGTTACCACTCTGTACTGGCACCTGGGTTTATTAACATTGTACTTTTTAACTTAAAACAAGATTACAGATGTGGCCTACAGGCAATGTCTCTGAATCAAGTAGCTAACTTTCTCTTCCTGTAAGTCATCTTTCTTCCTACTTAATAGTTTAAATCCTGGATAAGGAATCATTTTTTTCCTCATGTCCCATAGCCTATATGCCTCATGAACAAAGCAGTCCCATCCTAGGAGCATTTATGTATACAAATCTATTTATTTCAGCCTTCATCCTGCTGAACTAACTTAATTGTGGAACAGCTTCTGCCTGTTAGGGCAAATGTTTCATTAACCTCCTGGGAGCATGTACTCTCCAGGTTTGCTAGATGTAGATCTGTTTTCTCTGACTTATGTAGCAATGTTGCAATGGTTTTTGCAATCATCTGAAAATGGGTGCATTATCCATTGCTCTGTTGGACTGACATGTGAGGCTTATCACTCCAGAAAATACTAAGGGACTCTAAGATGTAGAAGATCCAAAAATTGGTTTTAATTGAAAAACAGCCCCTAGGGTATGTACACACTAAGACTTTTCTCTGAATTTTATTTATTATCCTTTTGTGCCTCTGTAACATAATTTTGCTCCTGCAACTTACCACAGCCTAAAAATTATTATGAAAATGAATAAAATGATGAAAAATGTACAACATAAAAACAAAACAGTATGGACAGCAGATAAAGACTGCTTAAGAAGTTTCGCAGTATAACATTTGAGATATGAATATAGTCATGAATCCTGTGTATGAAAAAGAATTAAAACATCTTTGCCTTGGGCCAGAAGGATAATAGGTACCAGGCCTGACTTACTTGGGAGCCATCCATAGCCTGGGACAACTACTGGGATTCACTGGTATCACTGGTCATCTACTAATTGAAATTCAGCATGGCACTGGAGCAAGGCTTTTGAGCATGATCTTACTAGATGAGTTGGAATATATGGAAAGAGATTCCTTCACGCACTGTCACAAATATCTGTAAATGTTTGTGTGAATATACACGAGCACCTTGAATTGGTTCCAGAAGCAAATTATACCATTCCTTTCACCTTTTCACTAGCTATTGCTGAACAGTGGCTTGAGAATAATGTATTTTGATTGAAGAAAAACAGTATGGTAATGCAGTCTGCCTCCTGCTCTGATAAAAAACCTGAGTCCCCTGTTTGACCCTGTACCTCCTGAGTTTTAGTATACAGCGACCATCTCTGAGATAGTACTACCAGATATGTGGGAAGTGCATCTGGCTATGAATTCTGGAATTAATAGACCAACTCATTTAGAAAATAGGCTGGAGAAGATTTTGCTTTTTCATGCTGTTTCATTCAAGTAGCATACGTGGCAATTTGACATTATCTGTTGACATTTATCTGACCCCTTTCTTCATATTTATTTAGTTGTCTCATGCAATCAGTACTATGCAGACACCCGGATTATTGTGTATGGAGGTTGGGTATTATCCATTTTTTATTCCTTGCTTCTCATTTCTAGGTAAGAGTAAAGAGGCTGAAATTAAACGAATTAACAAGGAGTTGGCCAATATCCGATCCAAATTTAAGGGTGAGTATTGCACTGTATTTTTTCTCCTTCTCCCCTTCTTCCTTTTGATATTTTGCAGTATAATCTAGCTTTTTCTCACCACAAATCCCTGCAGCAGTTCTGACTCAGTCCAGTTTACTCACTGTCTCCTGTTTTTGTTCTTTCTCTCCCTTGACAACCAGGCTCCTCTCTAGCACTTTTCAGGCTGGTTTAAGCATTATCGTCTATCTTCTATTATACATGTCAGTGATACTTCATAGAAAGCAACTGTGTGTAGCAGGTCTTGGGCAGCAGATGAAGAATGGCCCAGGATGCAAGGTTGAAATGCTGAAAAGCTAACCTGTTCCAGCTGGAACAATGAAGTAAAATAGAAAATACCTGATTTTAGGTGGTATTCACTGTAATAAACCATTACAATGTCAAATAGTGACACACATTTTAGAACATCTTTCACATGCTACAATTATTTGCGTCATACATCTGACAAAAGTAGTTGGTGGATATAATGATGACATCATTATATATGTGCCATCATCTGTTTTTCCTGTGGATGCCTGTAATTCTAAGACCTCAAATTGAACTAGGAGTTTCCTGTCTCTTCTCTGTCCAGGAGTTGGTTTTGTCAGTACCCTACATAGCACTATAAAGTAAATTCCTATCTAATGAAGAGTCAAGAGTTATTTTTCCCAGAAGCCATTTCCATTTAGCTCATTAGATGCAACTCTGTCCTTCCTTGATCTCAATATTAATTTCCATAGATCAGAGACCTTTGCAGCATAATTCATATTGTTCTGGAGAGGAATTCCTCCTCCATCTCCTTTTTCATCATTCCATATAAAATAAGGCATATGCTTCAGCTTTGATTAGCCGGATTTAAAAAGTGTCATTTTTTTGTTATCTCTTAGGTCAGGACAATAAATTAGGGAACTGGCTTCTTGGAATATGTACTTCAGCTGCTCATGCCAAAAGTCTAGCTAAAGATGGGAATAAGAGCTCTGAAGGACAAAGGAGCAGCAAATTCAATTACTTTAGGCAAAACCTTCTTATCCAAAGTAGACATCTCTGCTCTTGAAAACTAGCCCAACACAGAGAATGAATTGATTTTACATGCATACATACATACGCATGCTAATTCAGTCCTCAGATTTCCAAATAACACAATGTCGTTATCCTTCCGTGTTTGAATCTACTTGAGAGGTTTGGATCCAAACATCTGTATCCATAGATGCTCACCAAAAAAAAAAAAAAAAAAACCCCAAAGAGCTTTAATTCCTGATTTATGTAATCCTTCTCTGAAAATCTTATTCTTTTCCCAAACTGATATATTACTGTTATTCTCTTAAAAAAGAAAATATTTAATGACATATATGAAATGGTTATACCTAATTCTAGCAACATTATCTAGAATGTATAAGGCATTCCAAATGTATGTTGGAAATATGAACAATATGAAGGAACATTCTGATTGATTGGTAAGCATATAAAAAGCTAAAAATACTGGATTCAAATACACATATTAATACTTATGTCAGTAGTGATGAAATGCTTCGAAAGACTGGTTCCCCAACACCTTAGGACATGCCTCCCACCAGACTTTGACAAACATCAGTTTGCTTACAGTTCAAAGAGGTCAACAGACGAAGCCATAGCTACTGCCTTACATTCTGTAGTGAGCCATCTGGAGAAACCCAGAAACTATGTCAGGATGCTTTTCATTGACTACAGTTCAGCCTTCAATACTATCCTGCCGAGCATCCTTATCGAAAAGCTGACTGACTTGGATTTTCCCTCTTCCACCTGTGACTGGATCAAACAGTGAGGGCTGGGTCTGTCACATCCACCTCCTTGAAGCTTAGCACTGGCTCTCCACAGGCCGGGGTGCTCGGTCCCTACCTGTACTCACTGTACACACATGATTGTGTACCGTCTGACCCATCCACTGTGATCATTAAGTTTGCAGATGATACTAATGTATTGAGTCTCATTACAGGTGAAGATGTAACAGTGTACAAGGGGAAAGTTAAAAATTTTTCCTCATGGTACCTAGAAAACAACTTGCACTTAAACACCAGCAAGATAAAGATGATGTTACACTTCCGGAAGAAGAGAGACGAACCCGCCCGACTTTATATCGAGGGGAGCGGTGTGGAGAGAGTTTCCTCCTTTAAATTCCTGGGAGTATACCTCAGCGAACATCTTACCTGGAAAATCAACACAACCCAGGTGGCCAAAAAGGCCCAACAGAGACTCCATTTCCTTGGGGTCTTGTGAAAGAATAAAGTGGAACAATGACTGATGACCTCCTTTTACCAGTCCACAATAGAAAGCGTCCTCACATATTGCATTACGGTGTGGTATGCTGGCTTTACAGGCAGTGAGCACAGCACAAAACATTGTGAGCTGTTCCCTAATACCACTAAATGACATCGCGAGGGCTCGCTGCCTTAGAAGAGTGAGGAAAATTCTCAGGGACGATTCACACGCCGGTCAGCACTTCTTCACTCTCCTATCATCGGGTAGGAGATATAGAAGCATAGTCAGCCGCACTAACAGGCTGAAGAACAGTTTCTACCCACGGGCTGTCAGACTTCTGAACCGAAAATAATTTCATGTCAACATAGTATGACAGACCTGCAGGGCCGGCACGTTGTGCAACAAGGTCACATAATGTAATAACATTGGGATTGTGTTAGGGACTTCTGTCCTCACTGTGGGTTGTGTTGGGGGGAGTGCATGAAGGGAGGCTCAGCCAATCTCATTGTACACATGTAGTACTCTGACAATAAAGGTAATAATAATAATACATAGAATTGTAAAGAATGTTAATATCATGGCAGGATAAAAAATTTAAAATAGACAGTATAGAAAAAGCGAGGGAATTCTTTGAACTGTATGTGGTATCAGGAGAAGACCAGAACAGCAAAGAGGAAGTGGAAAGTAGGAGCCAAGAAGAAGATTGGGTGGAGGAAAGAGAAACAGAACAAGAGGAAAGAGAGCAGGAAGAAGTGGAAAGAGAAGGCGTAAGAACAAGACACCAAACGAGAGCAAATAAGCTTCAACAAGAAACAACTACAGAGTAAGATGGCGGAAGAAATCAAATTGATTTCCATTAACATCAACGGTTTAAATTCACAAATTAAGAGGG